TCTGGGCTCTCTATTCTGTTCTATTGGTCTATATGTCTGCCTTTATGCCAGTACCATACTGTTTTGATTACTGTGGCTTTGTAATTTTTTCAAGTCAGAAAGTGTGAGGCCTCTAGTTCTTTCTCAAGACTATTGAGACTATTTGAGAACTGTTTGAGACTTTCTGATTTGGATGCCTTTTATTTTTTGCCTAATTGCTCTAGCTAGGACTTTCAGTACTGTGTTGAATAGAAGTGGTGAGAGTAGGCATCCTTGCCTTATTCCTCATTTTAAAGAAAAAGCTTTCAATTTTTCATTTTTGAACATGATCTTAGCTGTGGACTTTTCATATATGGACTTTGTTATCTTGAGAACTATCTATTCCTAGTTTGTATAGTGTTTTTTAAAAAATTTTATTGATTTTTTACAGAGAGGAAGGGAAAGGGATAGAGAATTAGAAACATCAATGAGAGCCCTAACCGGTTTGGCTCAGTGGATAGAGCGTCGGCCTGCGGACTCAAGGGTCCCAGGTTTGATTCTGGTCAAGGGCATGTACTTTGGTTGTGGGCACATCCCCAGTAGGGGGCGTGCAGGAGGCAGCTGATCAATGTAGCAGCTGATCGATGTTTCTAACTCTCTATCCCTCTCCCTTCCTCTCTGTAAAAAATCAATAAAATATATTTAAAAAAAAAAAAGAAACATCAATGAGAGAGAAACATCTATCAGCTGCCTCCTGCACACTCCCTACTGGGTATGAACCCGCAACCAAGGTACGTGCCCTTGACTGGAATCGAACCTGGGACCCTTGAGTCTGCAGTTCTATCCACTTAACCAAACCATTTAGGGCTTGTATAGTGTTTTTATCATGAAAGGTTGTTCAGTTCTGTCACATGCTTTTTCTGCATTGAGATAAAATTGATTAATTTTTAAATTAATTGATTTTTGAAATTTATCTTTATTGTTGACAGTATTACAAATATTTGTATATTGAGCCATCTTTGCATCCCAAGGATAAATCTCACTTGATCGTGGTGTATGATTCTTGTAATATGTTGTTGAGTTTGGTTTAATATTTTGTTGAGGATTTTTGCATCTGTATTCATCAGAGATAATGGCCTGTAGTTTTCTTTACTTGGTGGAATCTGTCTAGCTTTGGTATCGGGTAATATTGGCTTTATAAAACGAGTTTGGATGTATTCCCTCCTCAATTTTTGGAAGAGTTTGAGAGGGATTGGTGATAATTAAATTCTTTTTTAAATGTTTGGTAGAATTCACCAGTGAACCTGTTTGGTTCTGGGCTTTACTTTGTTAGGAGGTTGTATTATTGATTCAATATTCTTATTAGTTAAAAGTGTGTTCGTATGTCCTGTTTCTTCATGATTCAGTCTTGGTACTTGTATGTTTTAGGATTTATTTCCTCTTAGTTATTGAATTTGTTGGCATCTAATTGTTCATAATAGTCTTGTATGATATTTTTGTATTTCTGTGGTATCAGTTGTTTCCTCTTTTTTTGTTTTTTCTAAAAACTACTTTTTCTCTTGCTTTTCTTGTCTTTGTTTCTGCTTGAATATTTTTTATTTTCTTCTGCTGACTTTGGGTTTAGTTTTACTTTTTTAGTTTTTCGAGGTGTAAAGTTAGGGCTTTATTTGAGGTCTTTTTTTTTTTTTTTAATGTATTTACCACCACTATAAACTTCCCTCTTAGTATTGCCTTTGCTTCATTCCATAAGTCTTGATATATTATGTTTGTCTCAAGATATTTTCTAATTTCCCTTTTGATTTGTTCTTTGACCCATTGGTTGTTCAAAGGGTGTTTTTCAATTTCCACACATATGTGAATTTTCCAGTTTTCCTTATGTTACTGATTCCTAGTTTTGTTCTGTTGTCAGGAAAAGATATTCAATATGATTTCAAGCTTTTAAAATTTGTCATGACTTGATTTGTGACCTAATATGTGATCTATCCTGGAGAATGTTTTATGTGTATTGGAGAAGAATATATTCTGCTATGGGGTGGGATATTCTGTATATGTCTGTTAAGTTCATGTAGTCTATAGTGTTCAAGCCATCTGTTTCCTTATTGATCTTCTGTCTGGATGTTCTATCCATTATTGAAACTGGGGTATTAAAATCTATTATTGTGTTACTCTCTGTTTCTTTATTCAGTTTGTCAATGTTTGTATCAAATATTTAGGTGCTCTGATGTGGGGTTTATATATATTTACTAGAGGCTCGATGCATGAAATTCGTGCAAGAAAAGGCCTTCCTTCCCATAGCTGCCAGCACCAGCTTCCCTCTGGCACCTGGGATCTGGGCTTCCCTCGCAGCCCCGGCTTCGTCTGGAAGGTCGCCCGGAGAGATGTCCTGAAGGACGTCCGGTCTAATTAGCATATTATGCTTTTATTATTATAGATAATTATACATTCCAGACAGATTGACCCTTTATTAATATATAATGCTTTATTTTTGTTTCTTGTGATAGTTTTTGTATTTTTTAAAACATAATTTACTTAAAATTTTTTTAAAATAATTCTTTATTGTTGAAAGTATTACATATGTCCCCTTTTCCCCCCATGAACCCCCTTCAGCCTGCCCCAGGCCTCAGCACCATATTGTCTGTGTCCATGGGTTATGCATATATACAGACAAGATCTTTGGTTGATTACCTCCCACCCATCCTCCCAGTTTTTGTCTTAAAGTCTATTTTGTTTTATATAAGTACTAGAGGCCCGGGGCACAAAAATTTGTGCACTCGGGGGGGGGAGGGGGGCCCTCAGCCCGTCCTGTGCCCTCTCGCAGTCTGGGACCCCTCGGGAGATAACGACCTGCTGGCTTAGGCCTGCTCCTGGGTGGCAGAGGGCAGGCCCAATCCCTAGGTGCAGCCCCTGGTCGGGCTCAGAGCAGGGCCGATGGGGGAGTTGGGGCGCTGCCCCCTGTCATGCACAGAGCAGGGCGGATCGGGAGGTTGCGATGCCACCCCTAGTCACGCTCAGGGTACGGCCGATTCGGGGGTTGGGGCACTGCCCCCTGTCACACTCAAGGCAGAGTCGATGGGGAGGTTGCGGCGCCACCCCCTGTCATGCACAGAGCAGGGCCGATCAGGGGGTTGAGGAGCTCCCCCCTGACACACACAGAGCAGGGCCGATCACGGGGTTGAGGAGCTCCCCCCTGTCACTCACAGAGTAGGGCCAATAGGGGAGTTGGGGCACCGCCCCCTGTCACACACAGAGCAGGGCCCATCAAGGGGTTGGGGAGCTCCCCCCTATCAGGCACAGAGCAGGGCTGATCAGGGGGTT